GGTAGGTTTCATTGTTGTAGCTATACAGTTGTGGTTGGCTCTGGTTTTCCTTGTTTGTTATGATTAAATACATGGGAGATAGGAATATGTTACTTCTGTTTTGATTGGAATTGTTAGCTTTGACTATTTTAGAGGCATAATCATCAGATTTTCGTTAACATTTGGCTTCTACAAACCCAGAGGCCAGAGTCAAACTCTTTTTTTTTGATGATGTGGCCGGAAGAGCTTATGGTTATCTTTGTCTCTCTTTTGGTTCTCAGGACCGTAACTCAAGTTTTGTTTTCCAATAGAATCCAATAATATTGAACAATGTATATTATGTTTGAACGATTTGTTGCCTTTACCTAGTCCTCGGTTTACTGGTTGAGCCAAGTATATTACTAACTTTATTCCATAACAGATTTAGAGTTCATTAATCGATAAACACGTGTCTTATTCAGTTTGTCACCTTGAAGTCACACTTTCAATCCTTCACCAATTTATGATATGCTAACTTGTATTTTTTCTGTTTCTGTGGCATTGTCTCGCTGCCCAGGCGAGTCCATCGGACCTAAAGACATTTCCCTTTATAGTGCTTGGAAACAAGGTTGACGTAGATGGAGGGAGCAGTAGAGTGGTAAGAGGAAGATCGATAAACGTTTTCCATTTTGCTTTTAAGTCTTTGAGTCTTTTCCTCTGTCTAGTCTCATCTTCTTTTACTACAGGTCTCTGAGAAGAAAGCAGCTGACTGGTGTGCTTCAAATGGTAGCATACCTTATTTTGAGACATCAGCAAAAGAAGACTACAATGTTGATGAAGCATTCTTTACCATTGCCAAAACTGCTCTTGCGAACGAGCATGAACAGGATATGTAAGTTTTCTCTTTGGCTTTAGCTCTAATATAATAGAACTTGGAAACCATGAAATCCTGATTGATTTAAGATACTTCTATAATGTTAGAACATAGAGATCTTGGGTACCAGTAGCTTTCTTCTTTCAAAATGTCTTGGTTCTACCATTGTTTTGGATTGTCTACTTCTTAAACCCGAGTTTCTGAATAGTGCTGAATCTCAATCTATGTATGAATATGACGTTTTAAATGTAGAGGGCAAAAATCTGCTAGTGTCCAAATTTTGTTATTACATGCCTATCTCAGATTGCCTACTTCTGAGTTCTAGAGTCCACAGGGCGTCACTGAAATGAAAACCGGGAATGCAAAGATTAAGTTGAATACCCTTATATACAAATTTTCCGGTTATTGCAGATACTTCCAAGGCATACCAGATGCATCAACTGAAAACGAGCCAAAAGGGGGTGGTTGCGCTTGCTGAAACTGCAGATTTCATGATTCATTTACATTCGTTTTTTGATGCATTTGCCAGTTATTGATTGAAGAAGGTTGGTGTACTCTTGAATTGCAGAACGATAAGCTTGTAGAAGCAATTTTTTTGTCATTCCATCATATATTAATTGACTGGAGGAGTATGTATGATCAATCGATTCTGCTGGATATATTGTTATTTTTGGGAGAAAACCGTTATTGCTCTTAACCCATATGGCGATATATGATTACATCTTTCAGTTTGGTTTCACTCATCTGTGGGATGATACTGCATCTATAGTTCRATATGTCCGCTTGGAGTTCTGTATTAAGAAAATAGACCATAGTCCATGGCGAATGGCGTTGATTCAAATGATAGGAGTGTCCCAAAATTTACCATAAGAACCTTGATCATGTGACGAGGGAGCAAGCCAGAATAGTGACCAACTCATTTGCGGCACTCATGTGGCTATGAAGTAGTGTCTTTCCGCTGATGTTCCTGACCTTGACACACTAGAGAATGCGTGCATGCAGGAAGAGCAGTTCTGGAAGCAGATGAGCCGTACTATGTGGTTGCATAGTGGTGAGGGCTTCTTCCATGCTTTAACGAGAAACCTGTAACAGATTTATGTTCCTAGAGGATGTCTCGAGAGTGGCTCGTCGTGACAAGCATTAGTTTGCACATGTCATAGCAGAGTACCTCTAAGATATCTTCACCTTCTGATCTTATAGTGTGACTTACGGGCTGTTCATGAAGCCCTATGATCTCATTGGAGATGAAGAACAGTCTCATCTCTCTGCCGTGAGAGATAAATGCGACTCATGTCTGTCTTCTACCGAAAGGCTTAGTTGCTTGTAAGGTTGTTGATAACGCTTCTCAGTGTATGCTAAGTGACTCCAGCCGATTCTTCCTCAGTTGAACAATGTGCTTATCATACACAAGATTCTTTACTATATTGTTTAGATAAAAAATTTGTGTGGTTCCAGCCATTTGTTGACAAATCTTTTTTACAAGTAAGCAAATATGTGGCAGTTTGGAAAACATTGGCATTTCTCTGAGGATTTTCTTACGATCAAGGCAATAAAAGAGAACACAATGGCCGAAAAGCAGAAAAAGTCGCAAAAGACGTAACAAAGTAGTTAAGTTTCCGAGTAGCATGTTATAGGCGGACGTCTAGGCAGTTTATAGGTGCTATGCGGATGTCGGGCGTCCCGATTTTATGCTATTCGGTGATTTATGTGTTTTTTAAAATGTGGATGTTTACGCGGTCTAAGCGGATTTAGACAGCCATAT